CTGCTAGAAGCTTTACGTCCATTAGTGTATCATCATCCAAAAACATCTCACAAGTTGACTGTAGATGAATTTGGCTATTTATATGTAGGTCTCTTTTGGTCAATTAGCTCTTCCACGTGTTCATGTGTTTTACATCCTTGACTTTAAAAGATGTTGGGTTTGAGCGTTCAAGTTGAATGTAAATCCCGAAGAATGCTTAGGTCGCACGAAATTGATAGTGTTATTTTCACTCATTCAGTAGCTCAGTACTTTTGTACTGGCAAGAAATACGGACTATGTTTAATTGAAATAAATAATTATAATTGATGTAAATCTTACAAAATCTGTTTAAATCAAGGCAAGTGTCTCCCTCATGCATATTATTTATTCCTTGTCCAGATGTTGCTACATGTTCACATTTTAGTCCTTTTGGGTATATCAGATCTTCAAAGTTTGTATTAGGTTTTATATTTTTCAAATATTTTGGCCACGAGCATCACTGAAAAGACCTTAATTGTCGCAAATCGAATTTTCTGCAGTTAATTTAGTACTGTTAATATTGTGTTACAAGTAAATTATATTGTTCAAATTTGATAAGACCATAAAAGTTGAAATAATTCAAATCATGGTTATCCATAAACATACAATAGTCTACTTTACAGGGGTGGACTTTAAGAAATTGAAACAAAATCATGGCTATAAGAAAGAAAAAACACACAGAAAACTAAAGATTAAGCAAAACGACTACCATCAAAAATCGGGTTTGAATTCTGTTAAGTGCTCCAGAAACGTAAACAGTTCCCTAATGATACTTCTAATTTTATGCAAGTTAAAGTCACGTGGTAATTGGCATTGAGAGATGTCACATGGGAAAATGGAGGGATTGTAAATAAAACTCTCATCAAAGATACCAGGCTTATAGATAGTTTAGTCTACAAATGACTCATCACTGGCGACCGAATCAAAATCGGTTGATGATATAAATCGTCGAACGGGACACGTGATATTTCATATTTATCATATATTTATCTGTATTTTATAATCTTTACGATTGTATCCAAATAAAGATAAAAACGCATGATTCCATGCTAGCCCGATTGTATTTTATCTATTATCAGGAACTAGCTTTAAATTTTAGGTCAATAAGAAATCGGTCTACACACCTCGATGTATAGAACCCAATGCTAAGTCTTATGTGCAGTGTTTTTATTTTTATTTCTCTTTGTAGTAAATCGATTCCTAATAATTCAAATTTATTTATTTGGAAAAAAAGTTTTAGATATACCTTTAAAGAGACACTGACCCAAAGACAAAAATAACCAAAGTATAGAGAACGATGTACAGTCTTCAAAAGTAAATAGGTGTCTATACAATATGTCAAGCTCTTAATTGTCCCGAGTCTATAAAAATTGTGAATAAATTAAACAGACTATATCATAGATCTGCCATTGACCCAAAATTCTCTTAATAATAGTGTTGTCAATGATTAACCGGTTAATACCAAAATCATTAACCGGTTAATCGGACCGTTTTTTAATTTTAAAAGTTTTGATATAAATGTATATCTAAATAAAAAAGAAACAGGTTGCTTTTTTTAAAAAAAAAAGACAATACGTGAACCTTAGAACTTTTTTATTCTAATTATTAATTCAACTGAATAAGAAATTATATATCAGTGTTTGCATGGTCATGTGTGTGGAAGATAATATTTTCTTTTTATTGTAAATCATTACAATTTTGGCATGTTGAGAGAAGTGTTAAATATAAAGCAATGAGGAAAAAAAAAAAAGATTCCCAGACGTATAATTTCTGAAAGAATAATAATGATTCAAAACATAGGGAACACATGTACCTTCTTCCAAAAATTCATAAATGTAATCTAGAAATAAGTAATGAGGCATTGCGAACTGGTCAGCTAGCAGGACACATTAATGTTCGTTACCGACCAATCATCAATAAATGCAACTCTCCCGCGAGAGATACTTACTTGATTTAATTATAAAACCATTATTGAAGAGGCATAACTTTAACATTCAAGATAAAAAGATTCCATTAATAAAATAGAGTCACACAAGGTCAAAAAAGAATGCATTCTTATTGCCTATGATGTACGTCAAGGTACACAAATATGATCATTGATAATTTAGAAGAAACTGTTATCAATGCATTAGAATTAATTGACACACAGAAGAATACTCTTTAAAGATTCTCAACAAAATAGATTTAACTGCATTTGTTAAATTAATTCTTAGAAACAATGAATTTGAGTTTAATGTACTGTTATACAAACACATTATAGGAGCGCCCATGGGTGGTATATTTTCACCAACATGCATGCACAGATCTGTATCTGTCTGTCCTATTCATTAAAATCTTAGATAAGTTCAAATAGAGAGAAAACATCAAATTACACTGTCAATAGGGATGACGGTTTTATGGTCTTCACAGGCAAATTAGAGCAAGTTGAAGATTTCTTTAACCTAGCAAACGAAATTGACCATCTACTTTAGTTCTAATATGAGGTGTCGACATCTAGTATGACCTATTTAGAGGGTGGTAAAGGGTTATTTTCGTGCAACGTTTTCGGCCTTTTTATTTCACGTGATTTCGTGTTTCGACGTTTTATTTCTCGTTTTCTCGTGTTTGGTTCGACGTGCGTGCTTCGTGTTTTCCCTTAATTATTTTCCGTGATTTGTGTCGGTACTCTTATTTTCACGTGCTTGTCCCGCATTAGATTAAAAAGTAAACCGGGACTAATTCAAAGTCACGTATATTAAAACACAGAAATGTATCAATATTTACCAATCACTATTGCACATCCAAAACACACATACATTTGAGAGTATTAATTTACAGTGTGTAAATAATATAAGAAATAATAGTGACATCAATGAATTAAATAAACATTTAATTAGCTTACAAGATAACTTAATTGATAGAGAATACTGTTAAAAGAAAACAGTAAAAGTTGTAAAAAATGTATATTAACGAATAGTCTTTTAATATTTTACTTGTTTTATTTTCATTTGAAACAATTTTTTTTTATCTGATTTGTCAAAATGACAAGTATGCATAATGATTTTATTGTTACAAATCAAATCCCAAAGCCCACTATAACTCATTATGTAGAAGCCACAGCACTATTTTAAAATATCCCTCTGTGAATATCTAGACACAGATGTTTGATACCATATGCATAGGTCGTTATAATAAAATCTTGACCATTTATCTTTCACTTGTTTATCAAAGGGTACAACTGTCAACCTTGCTCAAGTCAGTAAACCCTTGCAATGCATAAAATGTAGCTATACAATAAATATACATGTTGAAAAGGATCTATAGATTGTTTATTATCATATATTAGATAAGTGAATTAGCGATCTGTGAAAATTCTTTATTGTCATGTTTTAAATATCTTAGATACCCCGTATGGAGGTGCTCTTAATTGCAGGAAGCTTATACAGATAAGATGAATTGGTGTTCCGAATGAACAATAATTTACCTTCCGAATATTCCTCCATAGACTATATTTCTAACTAATTTATATGCGTGAACTCTCAGGGGTTCACGCAAAAAACACAAATACTAGTACTTATATTTGAACATGACCATCGTGGTACTTAATGAGATCAATAAACCAGTACATTATTGACTTAATTAACAATGAATACATTCCAATTTTACCTAATTACCACGAAGACACTTTGTCTTGTATCAGCTTTGGACAAAATCTTAAGTATACATAATTTGTAAAGGTGTGTTAAAACGTACATTGAACAGTTGTAAAAGAGAGGCGAAAGATACTAAAGGGATATTCAAACTCCTCCTAAGTCGGAAGCAAACTGACAATTCCTTTGTAAGAAACGAACAGCTGATCAAACTTTACGAGTTGTTCATTTCATGGTAACTTAATACTGCGTGAACGTAAACGTGCAAAAGCATATTTTAAACGAAATGCTGATTAAAAAGAAAGTAAAATGCAAAATTTGTTTGTTAGGTTGATTGATTAATTGTTGTAACGTCCAGTGGAATATATTTCATGCATGTTAAGGATGTGAACAGATTAACAATTAATTCAATGGGCAGGTCCTAGAGTATTGGTCTACCGGCATGGAGAACATTTAGAATGCTACTGGGAAATTGGGTTATTTCAATAAGGACAGAAATTAAGCCTTCAACAGGCCACCTACTTGGAGTTGCTTCAAGGTTTATCAACGCGCGATGAGCGCAACACTTTTTCTATAGTATACACGAGGAGTCGGATTTAATGTCCCCATTATGACCTGACTTGGCTGCGAAATCATACATCCACTCAGACAAAAGAACGCCTCATTTAGAAAGTGTTTTATTGCAGGTCAGAAGAAGAACAAAAGTAACCATATTTTTTTACGCCAGCCACCTAGGGTACATCTTCTTTGAACATTAGATTTCATACAGGTTAACCGGTTAAGCGATCGAAAGATTATCCGAGTAACAAGTTAATAACAATGTTCAATTTGACAACACTGCTAAATACCAATTAATCATGGTTACACTGCTGATGGCAAACTGTTCAGACTTTAATGCAGAAAAAGAGACAGATTAATTTTAGTATTGCTTCAAAAATAGATTAGTGAACTGAATAATATTCCGAAAAATTCCAGACGTTGTTTTGTAACAGCAAAGCATTACAAAAACCTTTATGAATGAGTCTATTGAAGCCATAGCGAAAGATTTCATAAACGTGTGAACTTTATTGATAATATTCCGTAAAATTCCTGTTATAGTCATTATATGGGCTATACTTTGGTTTTTCTTCGACCACCATATAGTAAATTAATTCACTATTCCACCTATGCATGCTATTGTAGCAGTTCATTCGATTCATTTCTAAGTCAGATTTACAAATGTATGTCTGTCTGCATATCAAATGCTTCATCTTCCTTGAGATGAAACAAATATTCAATTGTTTGATAATTGATTCAAATATTAATTCTTAAAGAAAACTTGAAAATTATTTATATTAATGTATTTTATTTTAGAAATTTACATTTTACAAAAACGAGGAAATATCATGGCCTGATGATAAGATACCTATAGACGAACCAGAATGCGGATATCGGGGTCAAAAATGTATACATCCTGTCAGTAAGTGGAATTTTAAGTATGAATGACTGCAAATATTTTCTAACAGCACTGTAGTTAACCTTTCATAATAGTACTTAGAACATTTTTTGTCATCCTAAAGTCCTCCAGATTCACTTCAGACTGCCATCTTGCTTTACTTCATGTAATTGGTTTTCCAGAAAAAGAATGTAATTGCAATGATATAGGAGTCACTTGATACCATAGTAATGGAACACATAAATAAAAATAAGATGGTCCATCAGTGGATTACGCATATGGCTTTATTGATTTTATCTGCCAAAAAAAAAAAAATCAGTAGTACAAAAAGGTTGTTTATACGAACGAATTGGTTATTGAAAATCTCCTGCTGAATGATAATCGGATTTATTGACCGTAGCAGTTTTATTGCATTTATGCTGAATTAATTGAATTTACCTGATATAAATGATTCCTTAAAGATAAGACCAGACAAATTGTCTAGATGACAGAAACCAGAAATTATAAGGGTATCAAGTATTCAGCATTTCAACGTTTACTTTGAAATCTACAGGTGTTCATGAAGACACTAATGCAAAGAAATGTAAAGATATGACAATTAGGACATGTGGTATGAATACCTGCATGTATGAGACAACTATCAATTGAAAACCATACAAAAAATGTATCAACAATTACTGTTCAATGTACGGTCGTCAACATTGTGCAAACCCTATCCCACAGAGTAAACTATAAAAGGCCCCCCAAAAAAAAATGAAACCATTTAAAAGAGAAAACCAACTGCCTGAATGATACTACAACAATTAACAAAAACAAATAGTTGTAAACAGTAACCTACAGCTACCACTGGATTACAGGCATACAAAGAATGCAGCGAATTTATTTTAGGTCATTTTTGATTATATAGCTCTTCAACTGTTAGGTTTTATACATCTTTGGCTTTCAAATATTCGGCTTTGAGCGTTCCTGATGAAGGTAAATCCAGAAAAGCGCTTCGGACACATTACATTTATAACGTGTTGTTTTCATTTTTTAAACATGTCCAAACCGGGGAGAGTGGTGTAACAAGCACAAAATAAAAATTACAAACTGTATATTCAGTCGAAAGGGGCTTGATTTATCAGATCCGTACTTAGCAGAACATCACTAGCAAAAAAAACAACAAAATACACAAAGTTTTGATCTAAGAGTACTCGTAGTTATTAAAATTTAGTAGAAAGCAAAATTTCAACTAATTAATAAACGAAACTAAATTATCAATCAGTACAACTCCAACAAATTTAGTGTAAAGTCATAAGCTGTGGAATGATATTGCTACACTTTCTATATATAAATCTTCAAATTGTAAACTTTTTTTTTGTGCTGTTTAAATATTATTTTGAAACGCCATGAACTCGATATTGGTTTCACCATTACTGGTTTTCCGATCAGTAATACAATTTTTAAATGATTAGTATTCGGTATATAATTCTGGTAACTTGGACACTCACAAAGCAAGATGACTTTCTGTTTTATCTTGGATCATGCTGAATTTGGTCATATTTCTACAGTAATAGTTCCTTCTTGGAGGCCTGAATATAGTTGAACCCTGTTTTACTTGTTTTAAATGTTAACAAATAAATTCATGGCTGCATGTTGGTATGTAATACATTCATTCAACTTGATGGTAATTTTTTCATGATATGTTTCTCAACTACCCACAATTCAGTGAGTGCTTGCATCTCATATTTCCCAGTGAATTCGAAATTATTTTATATTGAAATTAAGGATACTACCGCTGAATGTTGATATGTAATACTTTCATTCAACATGATGGTAACTTTTCATGATATGTCACTCAATTACCCACATTTCAGTGAGTGCTTGCATGAGTTAACTTGAAATTTTGTTATATTGAAATTAAAGACACTGTCGAAACTAGGAGGTCTGTTTCATATCTTGATATTTTCCTCGATATTGAGTACGACTTCAAACCAGAATCAATGACAAACGTGATAATTTCATCTTTTAAATTGTCAACTTTCCATTTCTCACAGCCCTCTGCTCAATCTGATGGATGGCGTTTACATTTCTCAACTCATAGTTACGATTGTGCATGTTCACACTATACATACTTAATTGGCAGGGGTATGATCCTTACACACAAACTGCTCAACAGAGTTATAATGATGAATGACTGAAATCGACACTACATAATTTTTACAGTTTCCATCACAAATTGGTTGACAGAAAAAAAATGTCTGTGTTTCAACTCACTATCGACATGTTCTCTCTCTCCGTTCAGAGTTCATGCCATTCCAACTGTTGGTTTTGTTTTGTTACTTTGATTTGTCTCCTAAATTAATTTATGAAATTTGATCATCGGTAAACTACTGTTGCTGATAATGTACCAAGTTGCGTCATGGACAATTTCCTGTTTATGAATATGCGATTGCTGCAGACGTCATTTACGAGAACGTAGATACTTAATTTATGAATTAATCAATTGTTCCATCGTTCAAAAGTACAGAGATTCTTATCATAAACTATTTCTGAGTACAGAAGTATGAAATTCGATCCTAGAAAGGGCGTCTTTGTCCCATCGTATGGCGTTTACATATCTTAGTTAATACGTTCCTCTGGTATAAGTTTACATCATACGGAATTCATTAACATGGGTGTGTTTCGGACAAAACAACTGATCCAACCGAAAAACGAGAAAAACAGACTGAAATTGACACTAAATAAGTTCTATGGTCACCACCAAGAGATGGTTGACCGATACGATGTGTGTGTGTGTGTGTGTCTTCAATCACTAGCGCCCTATTTCGAGTGGATATTCTAATGGCGAGAGATTCATGCATATCAGGACGCTTATCTTGTCGGTACATTCGGTCCAAAACAAACTTGGTATTTATCGGTATTTAACTCCCCCAGACAATACTCGAGTCATTTTATTCTTGTTTTCAGCTTACACGTCAGAGATATTGTTTGGTGTTGCAGGAGGGATTTGCCTTATTACAATTATCATAGCTGTATTAATCTATAGGTAAGATTAAATGAAGATTAGATAATTTTCTTAATTTTTTTAATTATTTATCATGGTTTGATGAATCGGGAAAATTGGTTACATTTTTTGTAACTCAAAATTCATAAGCCGACATGAGTTTTGAATTTAATTGATTGAGTGATCCTTGTTCGGTATTCCAGCTTTCGATGTCTGAATTGTTTTTGTTTTTTGTCTTTATTACCATTAAAAATGTATTACAGAAAAGTTGTCTCTATTGAATAAATTAATAAATTGTTCTAGAATATTTTTCTTGAGGTGAAACGTTGTACTTATTTTTAATTTTTTTGTTACTTGATTTAGTTAGAATTTTTTTTTAACTTATCCATCACACTAAAGGTTTTCTGTTGAAAAATTATCGTTGAAAGTACATTTGTTTATTTAATGTAAATTACATGAATATTGAATGATATTTCATAAATAATATTAGAACTTGACTTAGCACAACCATAATGTTTAAAGATATGTAGTTTAATCTTACTCTGTCATATTTATTGTGCAAAGATGACATTTCAATAAACGAATTTTATCGAAGGAACTGGAGATATGAACAGGAATTAGCTAGTTTATTATGGAAACTTGAATGCCGAGATATTGTACTGGAGAACCAATGTGGAGTTCCAAAGTCAGTCCTTGCTAATGGAAATATTGCTTGGGTAATGTTTTGTTTCTTGCTGTGGTAATGTAAATTTGCATTACTTGTTAAATAACTCATAAATATGTGAAAACTAATGTCCTCTAGACCAGCTTGATTAAATTTAGTAGAAAATTGTGAGTCTTTTGTAGACAAAACGCGCGACTGGCGTACAACATTTTAATCCCGGTATCTATGATGAGTTTATTTGTAAAGTAATGGCTTTAAACTAGATACCTCTAGATAGATTAATCATTGCAATTATGGGTCTTTTGTTTAGTTTAACAAAATGATAGCTGGCTTTCTGCCAATTGTATTAATACATTATGCAAATGGTAACGGTAGAATGTGGAATGTTATACAAATTCATCACGCGTATGGAACGGTTATTAAAGGATAAGATTATCTTTTGGTCAAATATTGCCTTGAATATCTTGTCAACACTGTGCTGAATGGTATCTAATGAAGAAAGCTTCTCAAAAAGATTTTTTTTAAAATGAAATCAATATATCAAAATCGGGAGACGATACCACTGAGGGAAGATTGAGTGTCAATCACAAACGTTAAATTGATAGAAGACAAGACAACTCCACTGACAAAATAAACTAGATGATCACCTATACAATAGTCCACAAAAACACTAAACAGAAAACTACAGACGGATAAACAAAAAAGGTGTTGGTTAAGTCAGGTACACCATTCAGTGCAATATTATTTTTGATTTGAAATCAATATAGAAATCACAACTAATAATGCTACTTACATATGGTCTTTATGGTTCCCATATATTTTTTAACATACACTTGGTATACAATCGTTATATATTTGTAAATTTTTTTAATTTATTTGTAGAGGAGCTCTTTGTTCAGAGCTACTAGCCAGCTCTCACTGGGGTCACAAGTCGAAACGGATTACAGACAATTTTTTACATGTGTTGGGACATTGAAAGGAACAATAGTTGCTGTAAAAATGGTTAATAAGAAAAGTGTGGAGATTACCAGAAACATTCAAAAAGAATTGAAAGTCGTAAGTAGCAAGACATAATGATGAAATAGTTATTATATGTATCACAAATTGCTTTAATCAGTTGTTTTATTTTACTTTTTTCCTTTAGTACTTTTAACAGTTAACATAATATAATGCAATTATTACAGTTATTGCTTTAATAAGTTGAAGTAAAGGCCTATTGTGGTTTCTGAGCTACGGTAATGAATTATTTACTATTTTAACTTATAAGTTACCTTCATTTTTAACTATTTCTATAACGTTGAAATTATTTAAAGGGTAACATCTGCTAAGGTTACTTATATTAACTTTAAATGGAATAAAATAACAAGCCAGTTTTTTTCTCATTAGCTTTTGAACATTGCAACAAAATAAACATGAGAATTAAATAATGCAAAATTCTAATTTGATAAACATTTTGGAAACTTAAATAATAAGCACTGAATCCATATCCATTATTGTTTACAAGATTCTGTGTGCTGTTGCTGTAGAGTTTGATTCACTGTTGTAAGGTAGAAAAAAAGTTTGTTTACTCTTCTTCAATACTTTGCTGAAGTTATTTGTTGTCGTTATGATTGGGAAATAAACTATAATCTTTTTTCATAGATGAGGGAACTTCGCCATGATAATTTGAATCCATTCCTGGGAGCTTGTATTGATAGTCCGGTGATCATGATTGTCACAGCTTACTGTTCAAAAGGAAGTCTACAGGTATAGATTTTGTCAATCAGAAATCTACTGAAGTACAAAAGAGAATTTTGGTTAAAATTGGTAACCATTGTCAGTACAAAAAGCTTTTAATTCACACAGACAAAGTGTTGCCGAGACTTTTCACCTAAAATATAGATTTCAAACATTACAGCATATGTCATTTTCAAGACGAAATGTAGTAATCGATCTAATCATACTCTATTATAACATTTTTTTAAATACAAAAGGTGCTTTCATATGACGAGAAATATATACAATTTGAAAAGTCATAATGCAGGAAAAAGTAATTCTGATAAAAACTTTACTTATTGAAACTGTAATGAAACTGTTTTACAAGTAACAAACTATATTTACTTAATTAGACATTTTAAATCGCCTAAACGAAGTTGAGAGTTCATTTTGCTCAGTCTTTAGTTTTCTATTTTGTCTTTTGTAGACTTGTTTGTCTTTTGGTCTCTTTATGGTTTTTTTTTTCATTGCATTGTCAGTTCGTTAACGACTTTTTAGTTGAATATTCCTTTGGTATGATTCTCTTCTCTTGGAGTTTCCATGTGCGCGTCCGCATTCAGTCTCTAGATACTTAAACACATTAAGTTACTTATACATGTCTGTTTTAAAGACCGACCATGTGGTTTATCATGAAGGTCTTCAGACCTTAATTTCACGATTCGGTGATTATTTTATGTTTTAACCTCATTATTAATAACTGTTACGACCGCGTTCAAATTTCAGAAACAATGATTTAACCTGAAGGTCACATGGTCACCAACATTTTCGTTTTAATGATTTATGTAGTTTTTTTGTCCGAGTTCAGTTTTCAAATAGAAAGACTCGGTCCATTCAGAATGGAATTAAGTTTCACTTTGACATCTGTTTAAATTGTTATATTTGGTGTATCAAGGCAGTTTTAAGAAGATACGAACTTTCTAATCTTGGACAAATAGTGTTTATTTATTCGTTGCATGCTAATGATATTAAAACAAAAGTGTCGTGTGGGATAGCTTTGATTAAAATTAACACAATTTGATATAATAAAGTAAGATATGTGTTTAGTCTTTCATTATTTTATAGGATGTTCTAGAAAATGATGACATTCAGCTAGATTCAATGTTCATTGCTTCCATTGTATTCGATATAATTCGAGTAAGTTTTTATCTATTTGTTTTTATATCTTTGTCAAATATAAGGTAAATGTTTTACCATGAATAATGGATGTCTTGTCTTTTGCTATATCCTATTGAAGGACAATCTTTTGAAACGGATATTGGTCCTGTAAAGTTATTACTGGATTACGGCTTGAAGATGCAAAATTTCCCAAAAACGAAAAAAACATTATCTGATTCTCTAAATTTTTTTTAATTTATAAATGCTAACATAAAGTCTACTCGGTGTATTGTCAAAAACATTATTTGTGATACCATTGTGACATTTTTTCGACTTGATTGTTATCTTGACATGTTCTCCTTTTTAGACAAAAATTGCTCAGGGCAAACACAAAAATGTATAATAAAATGTTGTTAAAATCAAAAGGTTTATCCGTCATATATCGTTGACATAACAATATCGCTATCAAAGATATTGTTTTCCGCTTACTTCCGCTTTACTTTATTTTAGATTAAGGATATTTTTTAAGCACCATTAAGGACACTTCCTTTCTGGAAATGCGCTACTGGATCTTTAATCTCGATACTGTTCGATAATGCTATTAAAACTTGATATACCTCTGCTAATGAGTGTGAGTTATAAATGGTAAAACTATTCCGGTAGCTCAGTATTTTGTGGATGGCATGATTGTTTTAAATAATTTTGTATTGGCAAAAATAAAGAAAAGAATTTGGAAACGTAGTATTATCTTCGTTTTGTATATCTTTTATATATAGCTTAATTTTGGATCTACACCTTTTTTTATGCTGAAAATTCAATAGTTATTACCTTTGATTATCTGAAAAATAACTTTTCTGTCAGTAGCTGGAAAATCTGATTCCAATTTTTTCCTCAACCCCAACTCAACCAATGACCATATTACAATGATACATTCAGAAAATTGTCCACATCTAATGACATAATACATCTTTATTTTTTCCCTCTGTTTGATTTCCTATAGTTTTATTTGACATAGCAAAACATGAATTTTGCCATACCTACAAAAGACATATACCACTCGTCTTTCATCCGTAATTCCAATCTTAATTAACACCAGGGTTTAAATCAATCTTTACAAAATACTATTTATAGTATGCAAATAATTAAATTTTGTTACTCAATTATTAGTATATGTGGTTTGAAGTTTTTTGTTTTTTTTGGGGGTTTTCAAAATAAAACATTGACTCTGTCATTTCAAAGGGGAGTGAGTGTATAATTGTGTGAGTCCATTTCAAAGTCTTTCAGCCTCTTTTTTCTAGGTATTAAATGCAAGTCTTGTGATGGTATATCAACACTAAGTAATCGTACATTGTTTCTAAGAATCCTGATTTATTTTCCTTGAAAAATTCCAGGCTTACGTTTGCTGGCTTGCACAATGTGTAAATCTATTCCTTTACTGTAATTGTAGGGTCTCATGTATCTGTACAGCACTGAAATAAAGTCCCATGGCAGATTGAAGTCCTCAAACTGTTTGGTAGATAGTCGATGGGTGGTGAAAATTTCAGATTTTGGAATGTGTGAATTTCTAAACGGAGCAATAGAAGACTTGGAAGAGTATGCTTATTGCAGAAGTAAGTTGTGATTCAAGTATCACGACAGAGATCGTAAAAAATCAGTCCTTGTGTACATACCCCGTTAATGTCAAACTTTATTTTATATTCAGTTTTACACCTTGTATGTTAAAAATAATATGTAGTTGAAATATTTCATAAGAATTTTTCAAATTAACGCGCCAGTATGAAAATTAGAAAAAAAACGCTTCATAAGAAATAACTTCGTTGTCTTTAGATGTAATCAGACGTGTACAGGATTTTACAGTCGTGTTTACCCTAATATAACTTATATTATTATGATGGGTTGCAATGACAATTCTAGGTTTTATCAGGAATCAAGTTTATTTGGAATTTGGGAGGGGAATTACGAGGTACACTTTAAACAGTAAAGTAGGATAATACGATTATAGGAATTATTGTTCATTTTTAATAGTCATTTGATTGCTAGTGGCATACTTAGTATTCTTAGACACTAAACATGTAACGACATAAAACCGACGCAAAATAAATTTCTATGCGTATGGGTTTTGCTTATTGTTGAAGGACGTACGGTGACTTATAGTTGCTAAGTTCTATGTCATTTGGTCTCTGGTAGAGAGTTAATGTTGTCTCATTGGCAATCATACCACATCTTCTTATTTTTATATTAATAAGCATCGGAGTTTATAAGCACAATTGGACTTGGGTTTAGTTTGTGTCAGTTCTTTTTTTGAAGACAAAACAAGAATAAAATTTCACGATTCAATGTTGTATTCAACCGAGATTCATTGATTGTATACAAATATATATTTACACAGACGAAGGAAATATTAGACAAACAAGTAATTTGCACTAAACGCGTCAATGCGTCACAGCAAATTTAATTTAGATATACTTCTTACTGCACTGATTACTTATTAGAACCTGCTTCGATTGAAATTAAATGTCATTTTATCGGCTTAATGAGTATTCATTTAATAATAACATGTAGTTCATTGGTATTTTACAAAATTGCCAGATGCAAATCACGGAACAAAAAAGCAATACAAACTGTTATATGGCATGTTTGCAGATCATTATGTGGATTTAATCTGCTGGTATGAAATACCGAATAAGAATTAAGCTATGATTCACACTTCAAAGTAATTAATTTAACCTATTAAGATTTAAATCAAAATGTATTTCCGGTCTCTAGTATAATAATAATCTATGTTAGGCAATAGTAACTGTGTCCAATACTTATGAGAGGGGTTTATATAAAAAAAAAATAGAACGCCATAGTTTTATTATTCAAAAGCATCTCATATTTTTGGCTTTCCAAATTTTTGATATCGAGATTACACGATGAAGATAAAATAAGAAGATGTGGTATGTATGATCCCAACTATCTACCAGCTACCATAGTACGAGGATGTCACATTTAGGTCACCGTATGGTTTTCAACAATGAGCAATTCAAAAATAAAGACAACAGCCTGAAATATGACTAAACAATAAACGAAAAACATATATATCAGTCATGCAGCAACCATCACCAACCACTAAATTACAGGCTTTTGAGTTGGAACATGAACATAAAGAATGTGGCGGAGTTTAGCATGTTTCTCCAGAATCAAGTGTTTTTCATTAAGGAAATATTAAACACTCAGTCTGATTAAAAAATCGAATTAACAAAAATCATTTACGCATAGGACACTCCATACATGCATGTGAACGATTTTTTTATATTTTATGCCACACAAGGTGAAATGTCACCAAAACGAATAAAGTCAATTTGGTTTAGTTTAAACAATATTTTATTCAATACATAGTATTCAATTCTGATACATGAAATAAATAGGAGTCAGAAACAAGCAAAATTGTTTTTATTAATCTGTCTCCTAAGATTTGGTTTAAACAGAATGAAACAAATTACTGAGGTATCGTATGAAATACACCATTTCATTATAAAACTGACTGTTTGATGTCAAAGGTTGACATCAGGGGGAAAAGACACAATTTTTCGTTGGTTGTATAAACATTTTTTTTTTGAAGTAATCTGAATTCTTTTGTATTTTGTAAAATTCTGAAAAAATAATCTTTGTATAATCTACTCACCGGTCCACATCTGAAATGAAATGGTATTTGAAATTTTTAAGCAGGTAGCAGAAGGGTTTCGAAAGTATGCCTTCAAAGTGTTTGTTTTGAAAAAAAGCTTAATTCTTTCATAAAATTTTGAAAATTCAACCATACAACGGATGCACACAAAAACATAGACTCACACACAGAATATACCTTATGTTTTTTATTTCTGTTCTTTTACATTATATTTCAAGAATTATGATATGATGTTTTCAAATAATTGACCAAAAAAAAAGGGTTAAGTGTTTTAGTGTTATGTTAATGAGTTTAATTTATCTATTTCACCATCACATGATAATGGCTTAGAAATTATTTGTTATTTGTATGGATTATTTTCCCGGTGATTTTCTTTTGCGCCAATTGACATTTCATTTGCGCAACAAAAAAAATTTCATTTGCGCCACAAACCATATTGCATTTGCGCCAATAATACAGTCAAATAGTATACATAATAGATTTATATTGAAATGATAGCTTTAATAATAATGTTACAACATAGATTTTATAGCATAATATGACATATTCATCATAAATAACATATAGTAATAAAGTAAAATTGAAAAAATTAAACATGGATTAATTTCTCTTTGAAAATTTTTATAATGGTTTTCCTGTTCATATATGTTGTGATTCTGGCTTTTCAGCTTTTTTTTTTGGCGTACATCAATACGATTTGTCTCCGTTTTTCAAAAACATAATGTTTCCTAAATGTGAGGTCTTAAAAATTACAGACGTATTTTCTCTTCTATTTATCTCTGAAAGAATTATTTATGCCTTTGAATGACACTCAGTTTTGTATGAGAAATGAGTATGAACTCACTTACTAATCTAATGAGAGGAGAGATACTTTAAAACATTTCTTATATGAGCATCGTATTCAGGATACAACTTATATATTAAAACGTTTCCGTTACATCTTATCTGTAAATTGGCGCAAAAGCAGTAATCATTTTTGACGCAAATGAAATACAACCCTGTTGCGCAATGGAAATACTGCATTTTAAAAAAAATTGGCGCAAATGCAATTCGTATATACTTGCATGCTTCAATGAATACATCTTTTCTCGAACAAAAAAATATTGTTTGTTGTCATTAAAACAGAGAAGAAAATGAATGGTAAGATACTGGAGCTAAGACTGATCTACCAAAACGTCTAACATAATTATATCCCTCTTTTTCATTATATCATTTCGCATATTGCTTTTGTATATCCCTTTAAAATAACATTCTTAAGAGGAGCACCGAATTCAGTACAAAACCACTTGCTTATTGAAGGTAATTCTCTGAAATATTTAATTTATATGAATCGCATAACTAATTTTTATGCTAAAATGCAAGATAATCAGGAGTTTATTAAAGAAAACAGCAAAAAGTGATTTTTATTATCAAATTTGATGTGCACAGTATTTGTATGTTCCACGCCAGTGATTTTGTACCTGTGAAATTGTGTGCTCTCCATAAACTATCGTCTCTATGTGGTGGACTTTGTTAAATGACATTAAAGTATTTCCATTATTTTACAAATGTGACTAATGCAATAAATATATACAAAAGGTTAACACCAGAGAAATGACTATAAAACTATTATCTTTCCTACTCAGTTGTTCCTACAGCTTCACATTTATCCAACCTAAATAATGTTCTAGATTTCTTATGTTCTCTACTGTTTATATTTTTAACCAGACTTTGCTGTCTCTATACAACAGTTACAATGCACAAACAAACGTGAATATATGTTGTTGACAGACAATACAATTGACAATAGAACTATTTTTTCTTAAAAAAAAATCCGGTTAAAAAGGGATAAGTGATAAATAACAACTTTAAAAAGATTGGAACAGATATGTCATATGAATAAAAAGAAAGGTGTGGTGAAAATGTTGATGAGACAGCAAATCTATAAATAGTTAATATTAAATTCAGACAGCAACTCTATATATAGCTGTTATATTCTAGCATGGGGCATATATATATAGGTCTGTATTCATTCAAGACATATTTCAAACTACACTTTCTTACAAGCTACATATCAAGATATTATATTACAACAGTAAATATTACTAATACAGATAACACGTGTAAAGCAGTTAAGAGTCTGTGTGTGGTCAGAGTACAGTGAGAACTGTTGGATTATATTGATCATGTTTATAGACATGATGATAGATATGACATCTACCTTCATTACTAAAATGAAATGAAATGGCATCATGTAAAACTTGCTTTCCTAAATAAATAAATTGTATTAATGAAATGTTGAAATGATGTGTATGTAATTAATGAAAATATTGTCTCTACAACTAAATTGTCCCAATCTAAATATTAACCTAACTCCTACAAATTAATTCATGTTTTCAATTAGTCTCTCTGGCTTTCTCCCCATTCTTCCACTACGCGTACGGTTATTATCTTTCACTTCGTTTTGTACAGTATTCGGTTGCGCTATTGGCCCAGTGTCTAAATCGTCATTTTCAATTACGACATTGTTTTTGTTTTCCATCAAATGTTTTCTATTTCTTCTGTATAGTTTTTCGTTTTCTGTTTTTACAATATACGAACGCGAATTGTCTGTTTTTTAACAAGGACTGCTGGTTCCCAACGCTTTTCTCTTTGAACATATACATTGTCATTAACGTTCAATTTTGTTAGTTCTTTTGTTTTCTTATCATAAAACAGTTTCTGTTTCTCTTGTTTTTTAACAACAGTGTTCTTCGCATTATCCGGAACTTCGGTTCTCAGTAACTTCTTCGTTATCGGTAGTTTTGTTTTACAACGGCTACCCATCAATAGTTGAGATGGCGATGGCATGTCACTGTCTAACGGAGTATTTAGGAAATTCAAGATACTCATATACGGATCTTTTCCTTCATATTCGGCTTTCTTTAATAGCTGCTTAACGGTTTGAACTGTCCTTTCCGCTAATTCATTGCTTTGTTGGTATCTCGGACTCGACGTAATATGTTTAAATTCCCAAGATTTTGCGAACTCTTGGAATTTTGAACTTGTATAATACCTTGCATTGTCATGTACAAGTACTTCCGGAATGCCATGTCGGGCAAATATGGACTTTATGTTCATTATGACTGTGTCACTAGTCAAATTGTTCAGCATACACACTTCAAAGAACTTTGGATAGTAATCCATAATTAACAAATACTGTCTGTTTTTAAAGTCAAACACGTCTGTGGCTACTTTCTCCCACGGTCGCAACGGTAATTCGGTTTTAACCATCGGCTCCATCGCATTTGAGTTTTGAAAACGCTTGCAAATGTCACACCTTTGAACCACGTCTTCTATCTGTTTTGACATAGCCGGCCAGAACAAAACATCCCTTGCTCTGTTTTTACACCTTTCTTTTCCTTGGTGTCCCTCGTGAATTCTCTGCAAGATTTCTTTTCTTAAAGCAAACGGAACTACGATTTTTTTCTCCTTTGAACACTAATCCTTGTGCTTCATGAATTTCTTCTCTGTAGTCCCAATATGGTTTGATTTTGTTGTTTATTTCGGACTTGCTCTCGGGCCACCCGTCCTTTACGGTTTTCTTTAGTTCAGTTAATGTATCGTCACAGTCTGTTTCTCACCTGTATCCCACATCTGACACCATGTTATATTCTAGCATGGGGCATATATATAGGTCTGTTTTCATTCAAGACATATTTCAAACTACACTTTATTACAAGCTTCACATCAAGATATTATATTACAACAATAAACATTACTAATACAGATAACACGTGTGAAGCAGTTAAGAGTCTGTGTGTGGTCAGAGTACCATGAGAACTGTTGGATTATATTGATCATGTTTATAGACATGATGATAGATATGACAATAGCTACATGTTAACATTAAATGAGACAGCAAATCTATCTAAAGCTACATGCTAAAATTAAATGAGAAAGCAAATCTATAGAAAGCTACATGTTAAAACATCTAATGAGAAAGCAAATCTATACATAGCTACATGTTAACATTGAATATTCTAAAGATAGCAACAGGTTAACATTAAATATTCTATACATAGCTACATGTAAACATTAAATATTCTATAGATAGCTACATGTTAACATTAAATATTCTATAGATAGCTACATGTTAATAGTAGTTATTCAAAAGAACAGCATACAAAACTGTACATATAAGAGCGTTGAATAAAAACAAAAACAGTTGAGAATTTCTTTGAAATCAGTTAAATAAAAAGCAAAAACAAAAACAAAGCTACAAGAAAAACAATAAATGATACCATATAAACAAAATACTCACATTTTTTGGAAGAAAGCTTGATGTACTTAACCTGCTCATATTGGAATAATGGTTTCTACACTATGATATCGGCGGCTATAATTTAGAGTAATTTTTTTACAGCTAAGGGATAAACAGTGTAAAAAACACGATCTTGTGCAATATCCTAAGAAATGATAATAAAAGAAACATTTTAGTATTATTTAAAACTATAGATATAGGAATTGATGCTAGTCCAGAAATTACTAGTTGCAATGACCTAACAACCACAGTTAAATCATAACCTTTATCAATAATTCCCAATGACCTACAACCACTGTTAAATCGTGACCTCTATCAATAAGTCGCAATGACATAACAACCACTGTTAAATCAAAAAGATTGAAGGTTAATTTTAAATGTAATTCCGTTATAAACAATATCAGTTCATTACATACATGTAGGTATCTAAATTTCTTATTTGTACTCCTCCACTCAAATTTCTTTTTTGTACTCCTCCACTCGACGACATGCAATCAATTTGAAACTAATTAAAACAAAGATTTAACACGAAGACGTTATAAAGATTAGCACTTTGTTTTCCACATGAAGCACCAAAAGAGCGACGCTAGTTATTACAGCATAGTACAAAAGTATTTTTTTCAACTTGACCACATATGGCCAAAAATAAAAATAATGGAAAGCATAGGAAATATGGAATGTATTGAGAGCTTGAAACGGATAACGGTTTTGATCTGAAAGACAGCATAATTATGGAACTTTAACTTGATTTGAAATGTACTTAATTTACAAATAACACATCGAACATTTCACTAGATTCTTTAACTATATAAATCTTAATTCATGTCTAGATCTTTTATGGTGTGCTCCTGAACTGCTTAGTATGGACAAGAGACCCCGATGTGGTACACCAGAAGGCGATATTTATTCCTTTGCCATCATACTTTATGAAACTCACGGTCGTAAGGGACCATATGGCGACATGGACATGTCTCCACAAGGTAGTATTTTTATTGCAATACATGCTTTACTGACAAAAAAACTGTAAAAAGTGCATTTTTTGTTGTGTACAAACTAATGTGTTTCTTTATGAACTAAACAACGGAGATTCTGATGATAGAGTGAGACGATTATCAAACACCTTTTCTAATTTTCAAATAAAACACATTAGAGAAAACTTATTCTTCCACTTTTGATAATATAAGCTGACCTAACAACCACTGTTAATGCTCAGCTTTTGCAAACATCTTATATTTCATAAGATGTTTGCAAAAGCTGTGCATTTTAAATAAATTTTGACAAGAAGTGTTCAAGTGACCTTAATTTGAACTCTGGTGGATACTTGTCTCAATGGCAATCATACCACATCTCCTTATTAGATCACCTGGCCGAAAGGCAAAGTGAGCTTTTCTCATCACTTGGCGTCCATCGACCGTCGTCGTCCGTAAACTTTTACAAAAATCTTCTTCTCTGAAACTACTGGGCCAAATTTGACAAAACTTGGCCACCATCATTATTGGGGTATGTAGTTTAAAAAAAGATTCCGATGACCCCGTCTGTCAACCAAGATTGCCGACATGGCTTAAAAAAAAGAACATAGGGGTAAAATGAATGTTTTGTCTGTTAAGTATCTTGAATACCGCTATGAAAAGAGAAAATCTGACAGGAGCAGATATGCTGAAAATGTTGAGATCTACCAGCTTTCTATTTACGTCAAAACTGTCAGACGACTTCTTATAGGAGTTATTGCTTTTAAAATCAAATTTAGTCATTTTGTCATGTTTATCTTTTCTTTTGAAAACTATAATAGATACAGAGAAATTTTCATTAGATAAATGATCAGCAAGACAAGATAAACGAATAAGTCAGCATGGCTGAAATTATCAGACGACTCTTTATTGGAGTTATTACTCTTTAATGACGATTTTTACCAATTTTATTCGTTTTTGCCTTATATCTTAAAAACAATAAAAGATAGAAAGAAACTTTAAACAGCCAAAATGGTCAATAGGTCAAGATCAAACATGACCGAAATCTTCAATTGACTCCTTATTGAAGTCATGGCCCTTTAATGACGATTTTTCCCAATTTTTCGCATTTTCCGGTTTACTGCCGGATCAGGGGAACTCTAGAAATGACCATATCTATACGCCCTATTCGACCCTTGGGGTCCCTAACTCCCCTGAAAACTGCCATCAAATCAATGGGACTCTAGAAGCGTACACATGTTCTGCCCTTCATGCGATGCTTGGCTCATAAAAATCAGTTTCATCGAAAAAAATTATATTTCAAAGCACATCAATAAAGAGTTCTTATTACTTCAGTTAGATATTATCAGACAATGTAATGTCATACTCTGTTGAAGTAATGAAGTATGATGTGCTTCTTTTGTTTTTAGATATTATAACTAAAGTGAGAGATAATGATGGTGACATTCCTTTCCGTCCACGTCTAGCTGAACTAGATACAGCCCCAAAGTTCGTTACGGAAGTCATTAAAGATTGCTGGGATGAGGTTCCGGAAAGACGTCCGGATTTGAAAACTATACGGACGAGATTGAAATCATTGCAGAAAGGAATGTGAGTAAGGAACAATAGGCATTTCACGACTTTGATCATGTCGTCTGGTTAAGGAAAAATAAATTGTTTATGATGTGACAGTGTTTTAACGGACATCATGAATTTAGAAATCAAAATAAGTTGGATAACACCTTATGAACACGTTAATGTTATATTTACTGAAACCTATTGTCGAGGTAAATATGAACATTCTTGTACTATTAAACAACAGATCCAAGTTTTTCAAAGGCATCGCTGTTTTTTTCAAATTGGTGTTTTGTTTATAGTAATGACTTAAGATGTATAAACCTTACCTGAAAGAGATTTAAATTCATATACATTCAAAACTGAATTCGAAGATAAAAAAATCATTTTGTTTTACCTTAAAGGAGTCAATGATTGAGTTCAAAATTTAACAATGTTATTTTTATTTTATAGGAGAAGACCATCAATTAGCAATGTATATACATGTATACAAATTATTTTACGGGATAAAAAAATTGATAGCTTAATCAAAATTCAACTGTTTGAAACTATCCCACGTGATAGTGAACAAAACATTAAATCCCCCTTTTCCTCTGAATTTCATATCTACCTCCCGCGACTTGACGAGCAGTTTATATAGCGTTCCAACGCCATTTACACAGCGAAATCATTGTCAATTATAGTATCATGTTCAATATAAAAATAAGGAGGTGTGGTATCATTGACAATGATACAACTGTCCACCAAAGTTCAAATGAAGTGGATGTAACTAGTCATACGCAACCGTACGGCCTTCAACAATGAGAAGAGCATATACCGTATAGTCGGTTTTAAAAGGCCCCGACATGAAAAATATGAAAACTAAAGGCCTAATTAACAACAGATCAATTAACGATTAAACAAATATGACAGACATGAACCAACAACAACCACTGAACTACAGGCTCCTGACTTGGGGCAGGCACATATAGAATGTGATGGTTTTAATTTGTTTATTGTCACAAACCCCCCTAACCAGGGACATGGGTGTAACAGTACAACATAAGAACAAACTATAAAAATCAGTTGAAACGGGCTTAACTCATCAGATCGATACAAAGCAGAAAACATCTTGTCAGTACTTATAGTGTATCATAGATACTTCGTCTTAAAATTGAGTTATTAAAACGGCGAAATGACAAACAAGTCCACAAAACACTACATACAAAAAATAAAGACTGAGCAACTCGAACCCCATCGAAAACTCGAGGTGGTATCAGGTTCTCCGGAAGTTGAATCAGATTTTGCTACACTGGTGGCATCCGTCAATATAGTAAACTCTGTTTTTAAAAGGGCAACTTCCCATAAATTTAAATTTATAATAAATTTTCGGTTATGGTTGCAAAGTTTGAGAAAAACATATTAACCGAGTTTTCAGGTCGTTGGTTTTTTTCTTTGGAAATGTTTCACATATTTTCATATCGGATCCTTTTAAAGCTTACTTTACAATTTGGATTTGCTCATTGTTGAAGGTCGTAAAGTCTTTTTTAACAAGATAATTTCAGCGATTTAACCAGGTGTAAGTTAAAAATATAAATGTAATCTTATTTTTTAATTGATGGCTGCTTAACTATTGTCTATAAATATTACGTGTATTCTCAGATATCCATAGCATATTTAATGCGAGTGAGTATACCCTGTGTTTTTGTTAAAATGAGGGGAAAAACGTACGATAGGTTTATTTGCTTTGCGCACAGGATGTGTTTCTGGAGCACGCTGAAGACCAATATTTTATTCCTAGAATTTTAGTCATTTGAAAACGGCAACATCATTTATTAATGAACGTCGTTTAAATTTTTCTTTCTAGGAAAGCTAATATCTTAGATAATATGATAGCAATAATGGAAAAATATGCCAGCAACTTAGAAGTGCTTGTTGATGAAAGAACAGATCAGCTGATTGAAGAAAAGAAGAAAACTGAGGAATTACTTCATCAGATGTTACCTAAGTAAGATAGTTTACGATGAATACAATTCTTATTCACCAGCATGTAACTTTACTAAATTACGTGAATTTTCCAAACTGCCTTTAATAAAAACTTATCAAAGAACCTTTGATATCTTAGATACCAGGCTTATAATTTCATACGCATGAAATTTCAGTGTAGTTCTGTTTAGGCCACGTTTAGTGTTAATACTCTCAGATGTTTATTTACATTGTACTCTGTAATTTTCTTATTAAGTCTATCGGTCCAGATTGTTAAACAAATACCGATATGATATATAAACAAGACTTCAGTCAGCAAAAACAAAACCAAATACATAACGATTACCTACTATACATGGTGGTATGGCCACCATCCTGATTAAATTAGGATTTCAAATCAAAAAGGAAACACAGTATCTTAAACATAGCCTGACATGATTATCATCTTGTAAATATAACAGACACTGACATACACATTGTTCGTCATTTAGGTTGGTAGCAGAGCAGTTAAAAAGAGGAAAGGAAGTAGAGGCAGAATCATTTGATTCTGTGACAATATACTTCAGTGATATATGTGGATTTACTGCTTTGTCATCTGAAAGTACACCATTTCAGGTAACGTATTTTCCTAGTTGATTAATTTTAATATTGATATTCTGAGGGTTTATCAATAATAATATGGTAGAAGAAGTACAAATGCATACGTTCATGATTTACATTTAGTCATCTTTACTGGACTAGTGTATCCATTCAATGAAAATTAAAACCTATAAGACATAGGCCGCGTTTACATTGAAACTTATTAAGTTGTTAACATCCTCGTGGATTGGCGACCAAATCGCATTTACTTTTTTTTATTTTCATCATAACTCTTCGGCAAACATAGTCGTGAATAAACAAAGACATTAACTCTGAGCATAGACAAACCTGTGCGATTTTAAAAGCTGTATGGAAATGTAATTGATTGGTATGGACAATAGAGGGATACATGTAATAGATTTCTGCACATTGAGGTGGTTTTTACAGTATTACTGAGTGAATAATTCCAAAAGAAGTTCAGGTGTTTGTTTATTTTACCATCTTGTTCAGGTATGAAATAATAGCACATCAAAATTGAGGACAGTTTTGACTTTCCTGAACACGAAATGTATTTATTTAACATATATTAAGACCCTACAATGTTAAAACTATTCCAGTTGCATATGTATGTTTATACTGAGAGTGAAATTTGTGGTTTAAACCAAATACACCTCAGGTAGTCTATTCCTGGGGTACAAAATCCTTAGTGTTTCGAAAATTTAAAAGTTTTGTAAACAGTTATTTCATAATAAAGACCATATCAATGATAATGCATGTAAACACAGACGTCCTGACTACTGAGCTAGTGATACCATCGAAAAGAAAACCTCAACAAGCATTGGCATCTACCCAGTGGTTGTATATAATACTCATCATAGATAACAGGCTTAAATTTTTGTACGCCAGACACGTGTTTCGTCCACAAAAGACTAATCAGTGGCGCTCGATTCAAAAGAGTTAAAAAGACCAAATAAAGTACGACGTTGAAGAGCATTGAGGACCCAATAGTTCAAATAGTATTGCCGAATGCAGCTTTAGTAGTCTATGTATTTGGTAGAAAATCCTTATTTTTTCGAAAAAATAAAAGGCTTAAAATTTTGTACGACAGACGCGTGTTTCGTCTACAAAAGACTAATCCGTGACGCTCTTTTCAAACGAGTTAGAATATGTCAAATAAATCACGACGTTGAAGAGCATTGAGGACCCAATAGTTCAAATGGTATTACCAAATGCCGCTACGGTAGTCTTTTCCTTGGGTAGAAGATCTTAAGTGTTTCGAAAAATTTAAAGTTTTGTTAACAGTTAATTTATAATTATGACCACATCAATTCATGTGAACACAGAATACCGTTTCGTCTACAGAAGACTCATAAGTGGCACTCGAACTAAAGCAGTAAGAAGGTCAAATCAATACGAAGTTGAAAAGCCAAATGGATACGAAGTTGAACGAAACCTCAGTCTAAGGACTCAAAACATAATGTACCATAGAGATTGTTTAATAAATATTACCGGCAGTAAATCTATAACAAGAGAAATAACTCAAACTTCTTAAATTAATTTACTTAGATAAATTTCAAGACCATATTGGTATTTGAACTTACCAAGTACAATCCTACTCTTTATACGGATGCTCATATAGCAGGGGCTTTAGTCGAACCAGACCAGATGGGTCTGCAGACTATACTAATATTTTACAAAATCAAATTTTGGTGGTATTATTTTAAGTTTTGCTAGAAACTTCATTGATAATAATAGGAAAGTTGCATGAATATCAAATATAACGAAAAGACCGAGATATTTGGAATTATACAAAATAATAATAATTCGCAATTATGCATATTTTATTGATTATACCTTCCATGTTGGGTTATTTGCTTGCATATGGGACTTTAGCTAGTTAACTGTCTTGATCTTTAAAATTGTCCGTTGATAAATTTAGAAATGATTACGAAACTAAGGTGTCAACTCCCTCAGGCACAGATGACCTTAGATGGATTTAACTATCATTTTTATGTCCTTTTTTGTCAAATAACTCTTTAACTGTTTCGGTTTTTATACATCCTTAGCTTTTAAATATTCGGCATTGAGCCTTCTTGATGAAGGTAAATAAAAAAAAGCGCTTCGGACACATGAAATTCATAATGCATTGTATTATAGTTTTGTGTTTTAAAGCACATCTTCACGAATAAATCTGCAGTTTTGTTTAGTTGTGTTTTATTCCAAAAATGAACTAAGAGATATCATTGTATGAAAACTCCCAGATGCATAAAATGAAATTAGACTGAAATTCGAAAATTTACCTTTCACAGACAGTGAAAAGTAAAATAACAAAAATACCGAACTCCAAGGAAAATTCAAAACGGAAAGTCCTTTATCAATGGCAAAATCAAAAGCTCAAACACATCGAACGACTGGAAAACAACTGTCATATTCCTGACTTGGTACAGGCATTTCCTTATGTAGAAATTTGTGGATTAAACCTAGTTTTATAGCTGGCTAAACCTCTCACTTTTATGACAGTCGCATATAATTCCATTATATTAACAACAATGTGTGATTTTCTGGGTAAAAGTTGTGGTATTCATTGAATATCGATGGTTTTTCAAACGAGAGGTTGTTGCTCAGCTGCAATCTAATCGAAGGACGACAGCTTAGAAAAGAGATGTGGCTGAGAAATATTCTTGAGTTTGAAAGACCATTGATAATCTGTTTATCGCTATTTTGTCTATGACGTCGTTGATGTTTACATTGACAACGGACGTGCGCCCTTAGTTTCTAGCAATAATTTTCTATCTAAAGTGAGTATCATGATATGAAAAATTATCACAAAAAAAAGAATAAAGCAAAGATACACAAAATCGCGGTAATAGTAATTCTTAACTACTAAAGTAATTATCTGCTTTCTTGGATATATATATAATCAATTACTTTTAAATCCTTATAAAGTGTCTGTCACTTTAAATGCACATTTTTTCTGAGTACTTTATTGGTTAAAAGTTTCAATTTCTAAAATAGATGGGAACAACAATATGTGTCGATTTGACACCATGCCCCGTTCGCAGTATCTAATGCCCATATGAAGTGAACCACGAACACCGGCTCAAAAGCGTAGTTTGTCATATAATTTTAAAAGATTAACTTCATAATGAACACGTGTACTAAGTTTAAAGTTGATGTACCAAAACTTTATTGTAAACTACCGTAACAAAATAAACTAACGGTCTAATGGACGGACGAACAGACCAATGCATGCACGAACTCATGCACGTACGTACACAAGACAAAAAACTTAATGCTACCCTATATCGTAACCAGGTCATAAAAACATAAAAAAGCGGTCAAACCATCAGACTATAGGACGATCGAAGAAGTACATAAGCATATGGTCCTATGTGTACGCACTAGATCCTTCTAGGATAGATATAACACTGCTTTCCACTCAAATGATTCTATAACTATAGCCAAAAGTTAAACATTGATAATCAACTATATGTTCAGAATATTTGCATAATGTTTAGTTTGCGTTGAGATGGCAAAAGGAGGTTTGCCTTAATCTTTATTTTATATCTTATAGGTTGTTAATTTACTGAATGACTTATACACATTATTTGACTCTATTATTGAAAGTTACGATGTTTATAAAGTGGAAACTATTGGTGATGCTTATATGGTGGTCTCAGGTCTCCCTAAAAGGAACGGAATAAATCACGCCGGTGAAATAGCTTCAATGTCATTACATTTGTTAAAAGCTATCAAACAGTCAAAGATAAGACACCGACCTAACGATGTGCTCAAACTTCGTATTGGTATACACTCTGGGTCTTGTGTCGCCGGAGTTGTAGGACACAAAATGCCCAGATATTGTTTATTTGGTGACACAGTCAATACAACTTCTAGAATGGAATCCACAGGCGAACGTAAGTAAAAAAAAACTGTAACCAACTCGTAGAACATATTTTTAGTTTTTTAAGGCAACGAGAGAATCGCAACCAAAAACCATTGTAAATAAGATATAAACACTGAAACAAACAAATGTCAGAGGTCTGCTGTAATTTAGGAATTGTATCTTTTGGTTGTCTCTTATCTATCAAATATTCAAATATGTTGGGTCATTTTGAATTTGTCCTCGGCTGGTATCGAGACTTTTGAGTATAAAAATAAAGAGATGTGGTATGATTTTCCATCAGACAGCTATTCACGAATCTGGCGGTCTTAAACATGTTTTTAGGCGTTCCACCCTCTCCTATCGTGGTACCTTGGTGTTACAGCACAGCATTAGAACATACTGTAAAACCAGTTTAAGAGGACTTTATTGTCTTGGTTGACTAAACGGTATAGTCCTTTGTCTTTCGTTCATTTCCGTATCTGCATCACTTTTTTCCTATATTTTCACTATTCTCCTCCGTAAAGACATTAACAACTAGAAAAGAATACTAGCACATTCTTGTTTATTTATTAGAGAAAGTAGAGAGCATAATATTTGAGGAAAATGCACACACAAAAAAGTCAGGAAACAACCCCGATTTCAGTAAAACGTACTTGGCGATAGATGTTGATAGAAAGTTTCAGTTTTTTATCGAATATGTAGTCGTTGAATCCGGTTAACAAATTTTGTTTTGTGTATTGATCCTTGTTGTCAACTGTTATGAAGAATATTGTTTCATGTGTTAATACAAAAAAAAAGGAAAACAAAATGTTTATAGCTTAGTCCTTTAATTTTAACTTCTGCTCTTTAGATGATGTACTTTCTTTGAATAATGATTAGACCGAAAACTAATGTACAGCTCATCCATCTTAGTTATGCATAAAGAAAACATTGCGGATACAACAGTGTATATTTCCTTTCTGGACTTACATCTTTCGATAGCTGAGTCTGGTTTTGGCAGCAAAATTCAACTACACTACTTGCTTATTGTCTATATATATATCACATAGATATAAGAAGATTTGGTATGATATAAAATATCAATTGAAATGGCTTAACTCAATCAAAAGAAATATTAACACAAGTGAACATAAACTGAACGAATAAATTTGATCTATGATACAATGTAAATACAAAATCAATAAAATAAGGGATGAATAATATTAAAGTAACAGTAATATACCGCTGTGAAATGTTAAACAATTTCAGAAAAACAACAGTAACCTTAAACAAAAATCCGCCATTTACAATAATATTATACACAGGTAAATGAAAATAATTTTGTTGTAAGGTATACAGTTTAAAAGGAGAAAGGAAATATTTTACAAAAAAAATAATTTTGATGTTCATAGTTTGGTGAAGTGAAAATGTATAGTTATACCAAACGCTTATCAAAGCTGGTATATTGACCAGATTTAACCCTGAATAAGTAAACATTAAATAACAAAAAAGCATTACAAATAGTATCAACAGGTCAAATTAACAAGAAAGTACGATTTGAGAGTACTCGCAGTTACTGACAGCGAGTTAAAAGCCAAAAACAATATTAATAAAAAATCATGCATCAGAGACTAAAATCAACTAAAATACATCCCAGGGATTTAGTATTTTAACGTCATGGACAGTCAAAAAAGACATGACTTGTGCAATGCCAAAAATAAATGTATCGACAGGCAGTATGATAGTTAGGAGTTGACCTCTTAATAGATAAAAATGAACGTGGGTGTGTCTTTATACATCCCGTTTGAAAAGAATACAAATATAGTTATGTTTTAATTTGCTGATGACAAGATCGATATTTGTGCCAATGTAAACTATATTCAAAGATCTAATTACAACATTGGTAAGATAACCTTTACTAATAAGTTTGTTTAAAGGTTCGATGAGTTTACACGGATCACATAGTGATTTCCGCGCTTTTAGTACAATATTACCGTAAAATTTAGAATGTGAAATACCGTTTTTAATAATTTTACAAATTTACTAATCAAATCGTTGTATCTATGAAAGAATTTAATAAAAATTTTAAGTAATTTATGGTAACGAAATCCCTGACTTAATAATTTACCAGTGATGCATTGATTACGTTCGTTAAAATCTATGACATCACTAAACACACCGGCATAATGAACGAGTTGGGATATATAAACACCTTATGATAGAGCCAAAGGAACATCGCCGTCTAAAAAAGGAAAATTAACAATAGGGAATGAAAAATCGTTTTTTGTCGTAAATTTTAGTATGAAGTTTCCCTTTAAAATTGAAATGCATGATTACTTTTCTGGATTTCTTTGGGAAGCATTATAACTATCACATGTATTGTTCGTCAAAATAAATCCACCCTTAACTGTTATAATCACTAAAAAGGGTTTTTCATTTGCAATCACGAGTGAATCAATCTTCTAGTTGACGTACTTACGTTAGTGCTTCGACCTTTTTTACGTGATCTGGCTCTTGTTTCGGTTGCTTAATGTGTTATGTCTTATCGTTTGTTGTCCAAATAATTATAAAATTGCCCTTCAATACCATTATTGTCATATTCCCGAATATGACTGTTATACCGATTGTAAATTTGCATTGCTATACGACGTGTTTCGGTATTTTGTACATCCAACATTCATGTATTTATTTTTTATGTTTCTGTTATGGTTTCGGTTGGATAATCTGTTATGTCTTATCGTTTGTAGTCCAAATAATTATAAAATTGCCTTTCCTTAACATCATTGTCATGAAAATTGTTTGGACCAGTATTGTGAAAATAATTGTATAAAGTTCGAGATGGAATGTTAGTTACGTAAAAGCGTCACTGTTTGTGATTTCCTGTGGTGTGTTTCGTTGATGGAATATGTTCGTAGTTGTTCTGCGGTTTGCATGTCGTGTCGACTATTATATTATGTGTTTGTGCTATATTTCTGTCACGTAGTGTTGTCATTTTAGCGATATTTTTTAACATTGTCATAAAGCGGGAGGTTCGGCTAGCCATTAAACCAGGTTCAACCCACCATTTTTTCTTAAAATGTCCTGTACCAAGTCAGAAATATGGCAGTTGTTATCAAATAGTTCGTTTCTATGTATGTTGGCGTTTGTTTTTGTTGCACTTCAGTATTCCTGTTGTTCCTTTGTTTTCCTCTTATAGTTAATGTGTTTCCCTCTGTTTTAGTTTGTTACCCGGATTTGTTTCCTCTCAATCGATTTATGACTTTTGAATACCGGTATACTATTGTTGCCTCTATTTATTTAGTTTTTCGATAAATTGCGACAAATTCTGGTTAAATCAGCAAGTAAGATACTCTGCTTGCGTTTAGTATAAATATTATGTTACATCAAAGTGTTCATTAGTGTTAATATGACTTCAAAATTTTGAAATAAATATTGAAGAGTCTGAAAAAAATTGAACGAACACATCTGACTGACTATAAGCAAAATATCTGAATTTTTATAAATCCGCAAATTGAGGAATATTAAAAAACCTATTTCAAACTTCATTTCATTTACTAGTATTTCAGAAGTTAATGGTTTTACTCTAGTCATTTTTGGGGCCCTTTATAGCTTGCTGTTCGGTGTGAGCCAAGGCTCCGTGTTGAAGGCCGTACTTTGACCTATAATGGTTTACTTTTACAAATTGTGACTTGCATGGAGATTTGTCTCATTGGCACTCATACCACATCTTCTTATATCTATTTATTGTGGGCTTTGATCGCAAGGCAATACGACAATACGACATGTCATTTGTTTTTTGTAGGTTCTGATTGCTTATAATTCTCCTTACTTACAGTAAAATAAGGAAACCCTAGCGGCTCACTTAGTAAATAAATAATCACGGTCATTTAGTCAACTAGACGGCAGCAATAAAAATTTATCATGAATCACCGTACCACAGAATTTCAATCAACAGTAGACAATTACCAAATTATTGAGAAAAAGGACAAGTTACATAATTATCTCATCGAAAGTCGTCTTGTAAACAACATAAAATGCAATAAATAATAGATTTGACTTTTTTAGCTCTAAAAATCCACTGTTCGTTTCAATGCAAAAAGTATCTGGATGAACTTGATGGATACACTGTAGAAGAGAGAGGACTTGTTTCAATGAAGGTATAGTAATGTGTGAATTAATTTGTATTTTAAATTAACACCACAATATCGTACCGCGCAATAATCGTTTATTTGTTTGAATTAAAACAGGAGTTATCTGAAATGTAATATGACGTATGTTTCGAACTTTGATTTCGGTTGATATATTGCGAACTAACTGCAACCCATATAAAGCATTTCACTTTTCGTTCATAAAATTACATGAGAGCTTGAAAAATAATTGGTTACACTCTTACTGAAAATAAACATGTACACAAAAGTGTGTCCAATTTAGAATTTGAAAAAGAGTATTAAGATAAAATAAAATACAGTGCTCACTAAACAAAAACATATATTAAAACAAAATGTGTGTTTTAATACATATATTAAAACAAAATGTGTGTTTTAATTCACATATCATTTGTTTTTAAAACTGTTAAGGTAATGAATATTGATATATTATTTTTGCTTTGCTTTCAGGGAAAAGGAGAAGTCCTTACATATTGGGTAACTGGAGAGGACAAAATGTGTCGTCTCAATAGGTTATCTCAGTCTGAACAAGGACAAAGTACGGAATCTTCTTGGCATTGTTTTAGCAATAATAATTATGACTGTATGGGCGATGATGATCCATCAGCCCCTCCAAACAGCTCAGTAACGATATCAAACGATTTACATAGACATAACGGAATTGTGCCTTCTAAATCTAGAGGAAGTAGCTTAAAACAAAAACATACATTAGATCACTCATCTCCTAGTTTTACGGCAAAGCGTGTTGATTTTCGTGATAAAGGCTTGGGCTCCGTCGACATGGCAATAGAGGTGGACAAATCATATGAGTTGTCTCCCTTGATATCTCCATCACAGAAACTTTCGCCACGATATGAGCATGCGCCATTGACGCTTAACATAGAAGATGAGTAGATATTCTTTAGTGTCGAATTTTTATCGTGTCATATTTATACTTTAATGGTCCGACAATCCGAATTATTGTAAAATTGTATTTAAGTGAATGGCTGAACTATTTGAATGATCGAAATGTGACTGTTATGACCAGGTATAAATTGTTGTTTCTCATTGATACAACATAGTCCATGTATTTTATATCAAACAACTGTCATTTGAATTTACTTGTTTCCATGTTTTGGCTTACCAAGCAAATTAAGGCATATTATCACAGAAAGAATTAAACAATTTATAAGATGTTTAAGTAATTTGTTGCATTGTATTATCATATTTAACAATTTAGTTTTCAATACTAAATGCTGGAAATCTGAAAGTATTAAAACATGAACATTTTGTTTTCGATTTTTACGATACAATTTCAGAAGAAGAAAAAATGATGGATGAATGAGAATCAAAAACATTATTTCTCTGGTTTTTTTTAGTCTAGTAGTTGACGCTTTTTTAGAAGCTGAATTAAAATAAATAAATATGTACATATTTATAGGTCTAACATTCCATCTCTGTATGTTTGTTCAACTATATTTATAAAGTTCTGACATTATTAAAAGTTACACAATGATTGAACGAATATAACGTAACATATTAGACAATATTTTTAACAGACTGCAACTGGTATTTAAAATGTTCTGTCTGTCGTTACAAATTCATTTTTATTTGTTAAGCTTGTACATATAGTTATATTGAGTTGCTTCTTCGGAGGTCTCTTAGTGAAAAAAAAATATCTTCAAATCTGGATTATCACTTGTTTACAGTTGTTAATGGTAATACAAATAAATTTTTTAATTTGGTTTTGTTTTTATATTTGTGTTTTGTTTTTTCGTTTTTTTCAATAAATCAAGTAATTAGTACATAAGTAGGCCAAATATTATTCCCCCAAAATACCAGTATAATCTTAAAAACTTAAAGCACTACAAATGCTGTAAAGGGGAGAGAACTATGGAAAGATGTGTGTTATGCAATTTATATCCTGTTTATTTTTGTACAAACTATATTCATTCTTTATATTTGATTGCGTTAAATGGCATTTAGTAGTGTAAACGCATTATTGACCACAGAAAAACACTGAATTGAAATGTCAAAGGATTAAAGTTTACATAATCTCGTATCTCTGGTTGAAAATTATTAATGGTCATAATGAAAATCAGTTTGTCGTTAATTTGTATCACTTAATCAAAGACTTTTTATTTAAGATTAATCGTTAAAAAAAAATTTAGTAGATGGTTTTGAAAGAAAGAAAATTCACAAACATACCCGATTGGCACAAGAATTTACCAATAACTGTTTTGAACTAACGTTATGTAACAAAAAAGTATGACAACACTCATTATTATGAACAATTTCCCACGAAATAAGTGTGAACTCTTCGTGCTGGATACCTTATCATTATTTACCGCCTTTGTGTCTCATGTTAGCGTGCTCGCCTCGATAACCACAGGTTGTGGATTCTATTTCTGGTTGGTCCAAACCAAACTTGAAAATTGGGTTTGGCTGCTTCTCAGCTAAGTCCGTTACATTAACGAGTAAACAGCCTGAATTCTGTGTCCGGGTATTATGAAATGTATTCCTGCGGACTATTACGTGGTAAACTAGTACGTAGATAGTCGGGATCAGCATGTAAATCTAGTACAAATCAAAGTTCATGTTTATGTTATTCTAACGTGTTCTCGTCCTGATATGCATGTGACATTTGCCACTGGAGTATACAATCCGTATATCTGTATATCTTTATGTGTAGAACCAAAGAAATAGTATACAGACTGATGAGTATACATTGTGATCATCTGTCTCGCTTTAAAATATCCGTTGCAAATGATTGATTTTTTTGTGTTTTAATGCCACTTCCAGAAATGTTGGGTATTTCGTGGGGGTCAGTTTTTATTGGTTGAGGAAGCCGAAGTGCCCGGAGAGAACCACCGATCTTCGGCGCTAAAGACTGACTGACTATCATAGTCAATTCAGATTGGATTCGAACGGACCTGCCACGACCAGATCACAAATTCAGTATTTACAGGGTAGTGACTACATAGACCACTCGACCACAGAGGCCTCCGTGGCAAATGAGGAAACTATTCTAAATTGTTCACTCTAATAAAATCAAAGTCTTGGAAATAAACTAATTCCACCAAAAAAATAAACACTGTTTGAAAAATAGAAATAAAATTTTATTTGTATAAATAAAGTAACAAAATGATTAAATATTACGGTGTCAAATCAATAAAGTATAATACTGACAAACTTATATCATTTCCCTTCATCAACATGCATTCATAACGTATCATTCGCCTATCTCAAACATACCAGTGAATAAACTAATAATGTTTATATATATAATTACAACTGGATCGATACTTTTGCTGGCAGACTATTATTCCGCAGACGTGCAGAGACTACGACCTGTAGTGTCATGATTCAAAAAGTAAAATCACAAAAATACCGAACTACGAGGAAAATTCAAAACGGAAAGTCCCTAATCAAATGGCAAAATCAAAAACTCAAACACATCAAACGAATGGATAACAAATATCATATCCCTGACTTGGTACAGACATTTTCTAATGTAGAAAGTGGTAGATTAAACATGGTTTTATAGCTAGCTAAATGATACCTTTCATTATATATTTTCAGGTGAAGGATTGTGTAACTGTTCTTTAACCTTTTTTCCTGAGCCAAAGTCCACCATAGATGATTTTTTTTTTTGTCTTTAAATGTTTCCAAAAGTCTCGTTTTTTTATACTTTTCCTTCACTTATGTTGTTATTTATACGCTTATCTTAAAATTATTATATTCACGGATTTCAGGGAAGTTATATTATAAAAGAAACAAAAGAATAGACAGATTTTACATAACTGATGCACCAATTTACTAGTTTTGAAGTATATTTTAACGTAAATAGCACCTAAAAAAACCTGACTGTTTTAAACGACACTGATGACACACATTAAACATACTTACTTTCTATTTATCATACAGCATAATACTTTTACAAACTAAAGCACTAAACAATACAAACCTTTCCATATTGAGAAACAGGCATCATTCTATAAAAACTGATACTTTTAGCTACAAACAAACTATCATTGTTATCAAGCCAAACACAAGTTAATAACTATATCTGATATCTCTATATTTGTATGGCAATATTGCACCTAATTTCAATTCTCCATCGGTCAAGTTATGTGTTATTTGTAAAACACTGAAATAAACATCATGATCAAGTTGTTTAACAAAACATGGAGTCTAAGTTTAACAACAGAAATGTAAGTGCGCGAGTTAAAACAGTGGACATCTGTTTTGTGGATTCATTGGACTACTAGCTGGACAATGGAATGCTGCTGCAAAATGTTTCATGTTTCACATCATTCCTTTAATTCTGAAATGTAAAATACCGTTTAATTTAGAATGATGCAACTTGTAAACATGGTAAATCCACTACTTTATATGCGATTTTAACATGTCAAGAAAAGTGGTATACACTAACTAAACTGGGGCTAAAATAATACCGGGTTTTCTCATTAAGTTAGAACTGAAGAATTCCGCTGTAACGACAGCATAGTACCTGTATTCCAATACAACACGTGCCGAATTACATATAAAAAGTAATATAACAGAAATACCGAACTCCAAAGAAAATTCAAAATGGAAAGTCCCTTATCAAATAGCAAAATCAAAAGCTCAAATACATCAAACGAATGGAAAACAACTGTCATATTCCTGACTTTGTACAAGCATTTCCTTATGTATATAATGCTGGATTAAACCTAGTTTTATAGGTAGCTAAACCTGTCAGTTGTATGACAGTCACATAGAATTCCTTTATATTGACAACAATGTGTGAGCAAAACAAACAGACATAATACGTAAAAATGTCAAAAATTGTGATGAACTACCACCACCAATAAATTGTAATGATTGGAAATTGATTGTTCATTATATTTCTATGTATTAACGTGCAAACCTTGATATATATATGTTATAACATGTATACTGACGTTAAATAAAGTTTTTAGTCAATTTTGTTTTCAGCTGGTTGATTGTCACATTATATTTGAGCTGCTGTACTTTGATAATTGATAATGCTGAGTAAAATTATATTTTATCAGTATGTATGGATTCCAAAATACAAGACTGCTGCATCACATTGTACTGATCTCTGTTTCTTAACTAACAACATACTGTCAAATGAAAACATCAATAAAAATGTTTATACGATGCAGTATTTAAAACAATAAGTGTTAAGATGCAGACAGGAACTTCGTCGATAGTTGTCGTAAATATGTTATGCCATTCTGGAAATTTAGGGTTGATGGCAGACCCTCGTTCACGACCTTTTCAGAAGCGTAACGATTTAAAGCTCCACATTATTTTAAAATATCTAAAATCTCCAACTTTTATGATAGCGAGTTTTATTTCAACAATGTATCTAGGAGCCAATGTCCCAAATTCATTGTCCGAACACTAATTAATAAAACTTCCCCGTTCATAATGTTTTGGTTGTCATTACCGATAATTTAATGCCCTCAATATGAATATAATGGACCTTACCTGTGCGTAAGATATGAAGAATGTTTGACTCTGTGTGTAGTTAACACCAGGTAAGTCTGGTACTTTAACTAATGGAAGACCTTTCTGAAATGTCTGAAATAGAAAAGGAAATACTTTATACCGACATATCAGGAAAGTAGTTATGATTGAAGGTAGATGTCAAAACTGGAAAGTTATCGAAAATTGTAAAACTGACCTTAGCAAAATAGGTTCGAATCCATCATTTCATTGTAACGTTTAGCATAGTTCAAAGGGTGTTCAAATTATAAGTTCTAGAAGGACAATAAATTTAAAGAATAAATTACTTTCTTCTGATTTCAAAAACGATATATAATTTTAAAATAGAAATTAATGAGTATCTAGATCAATGGAAATTTTGTAAATAGAGTTACGCGTAACTGGAAGTAAAAGACATCTTAAGCTAGTACGTATGTTAATGAACGACACAGAAAAAAAGAAGACCGAAAGAAACTTTTAGATGAAAATGAAATCAATAAGGAAGACCTTTTAAACGTGTCCAGGAAAATATGGAAGGATTGCGCACTTACAACTGTGAGGATTATAATTGTGTTACTCAATACTTACTCTCTGTGCTAGATGTTTTGACAAAATATCTCTAAAGTTACTGCTTTTTGTTAAATCTCCACGAACCTAAAAATAAACAAAATTGTTCATAACCGTACTGATTTCACAATAAAACTAAAAACTGTTCCTATCAAAGGAAGTCTTATGTTGATAATTCTGAACTACCTTTACATAATCTGTGAGCAAAGGTACAATGTACGTTTTCCCTCAAAATATGATAAAAACTTAAAATAATGTTTCAGAGAATAAGACGAAAACGTGATTACAAATAGGGTTCAATGAATCTTATAAGGCATCATTGCTGCCAAGTTTGTCACCACGAGATTGGTGGGAGATATCTTAATCATCATTCATAGTCTGATAAGTGTTTACCTTTTAAATCATTCAATGAATAAATTTTTTAAATTGCCCAATCAGAACTAAGAAAAGCTTCCGATTTTCTTTTTGTTTAACTTGACTAGAACAAAATAATACAAAAGTCCTTCCTGGCAGGAGTATTTGTTTTGGATCGGTTATTTATTTTTGTGGACTAAAGGGACAGATTATTTATTTTCTGCACTGTTGAAGCATGATTTTTCATTTTCATTAAAACAAGGGAGTGATTATATATTTTCACAATTATATTTATTATATTTGAAAACGCACTATTTTTAAATTCAT